GTCCCTGAGCACCTCGTCCACACGGCTCTGAAACCCCTCCCGGGATGAGGACTGCCCCCTCCCTGGGCAGCACCTTCCCACCCTGACAGCCCTTTCCGGGAAGGAATTTCCCTGATATCCCATGTAACCCTCCCCTGGCACAACTCGAGGCCATTTGCTCCCATCCCATCGCTTGTCCCTTGGGAGAAGAGAACGACCCCCCGCTCTGCACCCCCCTTTCAGGGAGCTGTGGGGAGCGATAAGGTCTCCCTGAGCCTCCTCCTCTCCAGGCTGAGCCCCCCCAGCCGCTCCCCATGGGAATTGTGCTCCAGCCCCTTCCCAGCGCGGTTGCCCTAAGGCCGCGAGTTGCCGTGGGACTACAGAAACGTGGTGCCAGCCCCCGCCTTGCCCTGCTCTGCGCCGGGGTTGAGCGAGGCGTAGTTGGTTTGTGGCGCGGTGCGTGCCGCGGTGCGTGCGGCTGTGACGAGCGACCTGTCCCAGCGCTGCGGTGACGGAGTCTCCCCTTCCCAGGAACCCCCCGTAACTCTACAGGTGAAAATGACCATTTTACACACCGAAGCAGATGGTGAAACGGCCCCAGCTGGCCTCAACCCCCCCGGCTCACCGCCTGCAGTTTTGGTGTATTCCTTGTGAAATTGCTACAGCTCCAGGGCTTCACCGTCGGCCGAGGGAGGGAGCAATGGGAAGTCACCGGGGAGAGACAGGAGTGCCTGGGAAGAAAATCCCGGCCCTGGCTGGGCTGGTGCCTCGCTGGCAGAGCGAGCAGCGTGGCGGCTGTGCCGTCTGACAGCGGGTGAACACCGTCCGTCCCCACGGCCAGGCGAGAAGCGCTGGGAGGCACAAACCGCACGCCCGGGCCGCAGGCCTGGTTCCCCGCGTTTTGGGGAAACGCTGGGCTCAGCAACGGTTTGATCTGAGCGCGTGTCCTTTTAAGGGCTCTGCTTAGGTCACTAGCGCTTTACCCGTCGCCATTTAGTGATCCAACGTGTAAAGAACGTTATTTCTGAGGGGAACTTTCTGTCAAACAAACTCCATTTTAGTAAGGAATGATTAAAAAAAAAAGTCTGTTCTTCTGGGAAGCTGCCAATGTTTTTAGGGCAATGTTCCTTGCCTTTTGTTTGCGCGTAGGAGGCTCCATTACAGCCCTTTCCTGAGCCGTCTCCCCTCTCTCACACACGTGGCTCCTGCTGCTTCCTGCTCCTTCCCGTCTCTTCTCCCGGCCTGCAGTTCTGCCTCCCTGCCCTCCCTCTCCCGCACTGCAGCCGCTTCCCTGGGCTGCGTTCACCCCGGCTTCTTCCCTTGAGTCTCTGCAGCGGAGCCTTCTCCGACCTCCTCGTGCAGCCGGCTCCCCCGCTCCCGCTCCGTGCCCCACTTCCAGCCGCTCTTCGCTAGCTGGGACCCGCTGCTCTAGGGTGCTCAGGACACTCGGTTCACGCTGCCAGCTAACCACCAACTCCGCCAGGAAACACGCACCGGGATTGTCAAGCTGAAGACGCAGGACGACAGAGGCATCTCCAGCTCTCGGGGGTTCCGGGGCTCCCTGTCCCCGGCTTCACGTGGGATCTGTTTTGTGCAGTGTCCTGGGAAACAACAAGCCCCACCAGTTCAATCCTGGTTTTTCATGCTGTAGCAACACCGAACCCCGTGGGGTAACCACTGTGGCTGTAACAGGCCGTTCCTACAGCAAATGACCCCAAAGGCAAAGAGTAGCCCCAAAACCGGGGCACACCTCGTTCCTCCATGCTGCTGGAGATCACACACCCAGATCCCCCGTCCTGCGCCGCGTGGGACACGGGGTTTACACGCAGTTTGCCAGGCAGCGGGGGGCTGTAGTTCTCACCCAAGACGTCCGTCACCTCTCCCGAGGAAGGAGGAGGCCTGCAGTGCTCGCTCTGTGACTGCTTCCGAGTCCACGGAGCAGCACGCGCTGAACAAAGTGCAATAAACGCAAGTCTTCCCAGTCAAAGCCTGTCCAACACCAGCCCACTTCCAAAAACGTTCACTGGAAGCCCTAATCACTGCCCTGCCGCTGGCACGACCATCCCAAGGCATTCCAAAGCCAGGTTCCGTTCAGCACCCCCATTGGTGGCCATGTGGGAAAAAGAAAGACCAACCTCTCTCGGTTGTGTTTGTCAAGATGGGATTTTGAAATCCCTGTGCTGTTTCTGCTGAGCCAATACCCGTTTCCATGGAGATCGCAGCGTACAAAACGTTGACACATTTCAGAGCGAGCTACTTAAACATCTGCTTCCCTGAAACCACCAGCTAGACGTGAAAATAAAACTGGCACCCACGTTTGGTGGAACTGGTTTGCAAGAGGAATCAAAGCAAGCCTCCCCAGACGACAGCCCAGCCCAGAGCTTTTCCAGCCGCACACCCAGACACGGCTCGCCGAATCCTTCTCTCAAACCACGTTACAAACAACTTTCCACCTACACGGCGACGCACCGCAGGCGCAGCCTCTCGAGAGCCGCAGCTATTGGGACCAACAAACCTTTCCGTATCCTTTCACCCCCTTTCCAGCTACCCTTCGAGGAGCTGCGGGCCTCCTCACCATCCTGCACGGCTCAGCGGGCAGGCTGTCACCGCTGACGGCTGCAAGGGGTAAGGACCAGCTCCTCCTGCTCACTGAGTCCCGTGAAACAGCACACGTACAACAGCGCGGAGCAGACCGCCTCCTCGGCGCCCCTTCCGTGGCCAGGCACGCTGCCCCTCCAGGAGTCCTGATGGCGGAATTCGAATAGAGTTCTTCAAACTGGAAGAAAAACCCCCCAACAACAAAGCATCAGCTGATAGAGGGGCAGAGCAACTTTAATTTGACTGCACCAGGAGACTAAAGCTATGTGTTACTGCAGTTTTTCCAGGATGATTTCTGCCTGGTTCATTCTGTGCCCTACACTTGCTTCTGACGCGGATAAAGAACAACTCCACGTGCATATAACCCTGCAAACACACACCAGCCCGGGTCAGATGGATTCAT